TCATTTTCAAGGACCTGCCGCACTCGTTTCCCGTGTGTAATTGTTACCTTAGAAACCTTGTTGTAGGCTGTATAGGTTACGCCATGAATGTCCTCTCCCCCGCTTATGACATTCACTGTCCTTTTGGGTGAAGGAGGTTGTGGTGGATCTTGTCTGTTTTTCATATAAGCTTGTTTTCCTTTCTCACTAAATAACTCAGTAAGGTACCCTTGCTTTAATAAATGATCCACTTCACTCTGCAGGAATCTGCATTTTGAAGTTTTGTGCCCGTGATCGTTGTGAAATTCGCACCAATGATCCGGATTGCGTTTACTTGGATTTGACCGCATCTCTTTTGGCCACCGTACCTTATCTCCCATGCTTCTTAAAACAGCTACGAGCTCGGAGGTAGAGACATTAAAATTATATCCACCGAATCGTGCCTTTAAACTCATGTCATCATCTCGTGATTCTTGTCTGTTCCGATCATTCCTGAACTTTGAAGAAGAACCAGAATCCCGATTCCTTGATTTTTGATCATATTGCTGGCTATCTTATTTCGACCGTAGGTCCTTTCCTGCGGGTCCCATATATGGATCGTACCTATTTTTACCTGATCTTTTTTCAATTTCTGACCTTCGAGTACCGCCCCTTTCTTCATGATGGAGCTTACGTATCTTCTTCGATCCGCAGCTTCGTACTATACCTGTTGTAAACATCATTCCATGTGGTTGCAGGAAATTCTCTAAGACTTTCTTTGAGTCATCTCGTGGCTTCAGAACTTTTGTCATTTAAATTACTTGCAAAAGCTATAGCAGCCCAATTGTCAGGCACACGAGGTAGAGTCATTCTTTCACGCTGGAATCTATCAACGAAGTTTCTAAGCAACTCCGAATCCCCTTGTTTGATTTTGAAAATATCTTCCATCCTTTTCTCAACCTTTTGTGCTCCCGAATGTGCTTTAATAAAAGAATCTGCAAGCTCAGCAAAAGAATTAATAGAATTTTCAGATAAAAGAGAATACCAGGTTAATGCACCCTTGGTGAGTGTTTCTCCAAATTTCTTGACCAATACTGATTCAATTTCTTGTTTGGTCAAGTCGTTGCCTTTTACGCCGGTTGTAAATGCAGTCACGTGGTCACGTGGGTCTGTAGTACCATCATATTTCGGGATGTCAGGCATTTTGAACTTTTTCGGAATTGGAAGGGGAGCAGCACTAGGCTTCCATGGTTGTTGTGAGTATTTGTCCATGTCTACTCCTTTTATTACAGGTGGAACTCCAGGGATTTGTTCAATACGCTCATTTTGTTCCTTAAGCTGTTTCTGCAAGGTTAGTACTAAATTTTGCAAATACGAATTATTTAAATTACCTGGTCCCCCTTCTTGTGGTTCACTGGGGGTTGCTCCGTTTCCAGAATTATCAAGACCAGAACGGGGGTTCTCCAATGTATTATTATTAGGAGTTGGTGTAGGTGGCGCAGCAGGCAATCGACTAACAAGTGCCTGAAGAGCTTTTCCGACCTGTGCATCAATTAGCTTTTGCAAAGCTTCAGTTGTAACTCCTTCAAAATGTTCATATTGCTCTTGTTGATCAGCACGTGATTCGGTAACAGGAGTGTCTTCACGAGATTGACGTGGTGAATTTAGAGGAGAGGGAACCACATTATCTTGATTTTGATGTATTTGATTCTCATGGTTTCCCAATGTGTTGTTACTATTGTTGTCGGCATTGTTGTTTGACATGGTGACGCCTAATAGATAAGATGTAGTTTAAAAGGAAAGATTATCAGATTCCCGGTAACGGAAACAATTTGTTTAACCAAAAATCTGAGTCTTTGGTCAAAGCTAAAAAGAAATTCGGGTTACTGATAATCAGGAGACAAAAATAAAATACTTTTGAGAACGATGGTAAAGAAGCAAATAGATGTATATTTCAATAAATTCTCAATAGTATTCTGTGTCCTTACAAATGATGATACTTCTTCCTTTTATAGATAATTCTAGGTAAAGGAATGAAGTCTCAGCTTTAATGATATAATCATGAGTAATAAATGATATTAAATAAGCCGTTATACAATCATTCCTATTAAATACCGACTTCATAACGTATCAAGTATTTAATAATGAATTTGGACTCCTTTCTGTCACCAGATCTTTACTTTCAATGCCTTCTATCCGTTGGCTGTAGATAATTTAAATTGGTACGAGACTCGTATCTATACGTTGTCTCGTGCCTATTTAAATTCTTCTTCCCGTGGTTGTTTCCATCCGTGCCTCTTAGTCAATTGCTGCGCTTTGACCATTTAACTAATCCACGTGTCATGCCACATCATCTTTTAATATAAACTCAATTTTTTCCCAATACACATACCTATTTTTCTACGTCTCCATTAGTAGTATTTCCTTTGTTTCATTTTATATGATTGTTTAACCGGGCATAGTGTTTAATAAAGGAAGAAACATAGACTTTTGGCACATACAAAAGTATTCTTGGAATTTTGATGTTAAATTAACATGTCAAAGTGAAATAACTTTAAGAGAATGTCGTAGGATGGTACCATTCTTTTGTTTATATAAAAAACACTAAAAATAAAATAATGGCAATATAAGATGAACAGAGAACACAAAACAACAGTTATTTTTGGTAAAGTATGCCTAACATTTATGTTCGAAACTCAAATTAAGAATGTCGCAGAGCAAGAGACATAAGTATATTGTTAGATTTTGAATTCACTAAACATTAACAATTCTCAAGCATGCAACAAATAACAGAGATTGATCGACGAGAATTCTAGAGATAGTATAGAGCAAAAGGCGGAGCTTTCTTCAGTATTGTAGAATAAATGAAATTGAATTACCTAACAGATTTTGCGAGGTGTACTATTTATAACCAACTCACGTGCTCTCACAACAGACTTTCCCAACTAACAGTGTAACTAATACTAATTACAGTTTGGTCTCCAACTAATTACAAATTGGTCCTCACAGTTTTGATACTTCCCCTCAAGCTGGAGAGTGAAACACATCTAACACTCCTAGTTTGGACATCAAAAGATGATGTTGACCTACTCCTAGTCCCTTGGTCATCACATCTGCAATCTGCTCGTTCATGGAAACATAGTCAGGTGCAATTAGTCATTCTTTGATCTTCTCCCTCACAAAATGGCAATCTATTTCAAAATATTTGGTCCACTCATGATAAATTGGATTTGATGCTATGTGCATCACTGCTTTACTATATGTATATATTATTACTGGTTCTTACACTGCCACATTAAGCTCCATTATTAGTCCCACTAGCCAAACAACTTTTGCAGTAATTGTTGCCATACTTCTATATTCTGCTAACAGTATGCCGCTTCTTTGATTTCCATGAAATCAAGGAATCTTCCATCTTAATCACATAGCTAGTCACTGACCTTCTTGTGTTTGGGCATGCAGCCCAGTCAGAATCATAATAGGCAGTGACCTGTGCTAGTGATCCTCGTCTTAGAAATATACGCATTCCTGGTGACCTCTTGATGTATCTTACAACTTTCCTGACTACCTCTAGGTGAGACTGTTTTGGATGTTGCATGAATTTGCTTAACAATTCTACTGCAAAACAGATGTTTGGCCTAGTTATTGTCAAATAAATCAGATTTCCTATCATTCTTTGATAGCCACTGATATCCTTCAATACTTCATCTCCTGCTTTTCCCATATGATTGTCATAGTCGACTATTGTAAGCTTCAAATTTTGCTCAAGTGATGAATTAGCAAGTTTTGCACCACTTAAGCTTGTATCTGAAATGAGCTCTAGAGCACTTTTTATACCTTTCTTAGATCTCATAACCTCTATCCCCAAAAAATATTTCAGCTCTCCCAGATCTTTCATTTTAAAATTTTTATGTAAGGTGGTCTTTACTTCATTCACCAGTGCGCTATTACTCCCGGTGATCAAAATATCATCAACATAGACTAATGTAATAACTATATCTGTATTTGTCTTCTTATGAATAGGGATTGATCATAGGCACTATGTAAGTATCCAACACTAATCAGTGCATTAGTTAATTTAATGTTCCATTGCCTTGATGCATGCTTTAAGCTGTATGGAGATTTGTGTAATCAACACATTTTGGTCTCCCTCTGCCTATGGAATCGCTGAGGTTGATCCATGTAGACTTCTTCAACTAGATCACATTGCAAGAATGCATTGTTTACATCCATTTGATAGAAATTCCATCCTTCAGCAGCTGTTAAACTGATGATTATTCTAACTGTCATCATCTTAGCAACCGGGGAGAATGTTTCATGGTAGCCTTGACCTTCCTTTTGTGTATAACCTTTTGCAACTAGTCTGGCTTTAAACATGTCTACTTTACCATTTGCCTTATACTTGACCTTATAAACCCATTTTGAGTTAATAGCTTGTTTCTCTGGGGAAAGATCTACTATCTCCCATGTATGGTTATCTTCTAGAGCATGAACTTCTTGCTTCATGGCTTCTATCCATCCGATGTCTCTTGATGCTTCCTTAAAAGATACAGGTTCTACAGTGGTAGAGAGTATATATATGTTTAGCAAGTCGAATTGCTTGAAATTAGACTACTCATACCTATTTTTCTACATCTATATTAGTAGTATTCCCTTTGTTTCATTTTATATGATTGTTTAACTGGGCATAGCGTTTAATAAAGGAAGAAACATAGACTTTTGGCATGTACAAAAGTATTCTTAGAATTTTGATGTTAAATTAACATGTCAAAGTGAAATAACTTTAAGAGAATATCATAGGATGGTACAATTCTTTTTATTTTGAAACATACTAAAAATGAAATAATGGCATATAAGATAAACAGAGAGAATACAAAACAATAGTTATTTTTGGTAAAGTATGCCTAACATTTATGTTCGAAACTCAAATTAAGAATGTCGTAGAGCAAGAGACATAAGTATATTGTTAGATTTTGAATTCACATCTCAACATTAATAATTCTCTAGCATGCAACGAATAGTAGAGATTGATCGACGAGAACTCTAGAGAGAGTATAGAGCGAAAGGCGGAGCTTTCTTTAGTATTGTAGAATAAATAAAATTGAATTACCCAATAGATTTTGTGGTGTACTGTTTATAACCAACCCACGTGCTCTCACAATAAATTTCCCAACTAACAGTGTAACTAATACTAATTATAGTTTGGTCCCCAACTAATTACAAATTGATCCTCATAGTTTTGATACTTCCCTTCAAACCGGAGGGTGAAACACATCTAACACTCCTAGCTTGGACATCAAAAGATGATGTTGACCTACTCCTAGTCCCTTGGTCTTCAAATCTACAATCTGCTCGTTCATGGAAACATAATCAGGTGCAATTGGTCCTTCTTTGATCTTGTCTCTCACAAAATGGCAATCTATTTCAAAATGTTTGGTCCTCTCATGATAAATTGAATTTGCCGCTATGTGCATTGTTGCTTTAATATCTTTATATGCTGTTACTGGTTCTTACACTGCCACATTAAGCTCCGTCATTAGTCCCACTAGCCAAACCACTTATGCAGTAATTGCTTCCATACTTCTGTATTATGCTAACAATATGTTGCTTCTTTGATTTCTATGAAACCAAGGAATCTCCCATCTTAATTACATAGCTAGTCACTAACCTTCTTATGTTTGGGCATGCAACCCAGTCAGAATCACAATAGCCAGTGATATGTGCTAGTGATCCTCTTAGAAATATCCGCATTCCTGGTGACCTCGTGATGTATTTTACAACTCTCATGGCTGCCTCCTAGGTAAGGTTGTTTTGGATGTTGCATGAATTGCTTAACAACTGCACTGCAAAATAGATGTTTGGCCTAGTTATTGTCAAATAAATCAGTTTTCTTATCAGTCTTTGATAGCCACTGATATCCTTCAATACTTCATCTCCTGCCTTTCCCATATGATTGTCATAGTCGACTGTTGTAAGCTTCAAATTCTACTCAAGTGGTGAATTAGTAAGTTTTTCACCACTTAAGCTCTTATCTGAAATGAGCTCCAGAGCATATTTTCTTATACCTTTCTTATATCTCATAACCTCTATCCCTAGAAAATATTTCAGCTATCCCAGATCTTTCATTTTAAAATTATTGTGTAAGGTGGTATTTACTTCATTCACCAGTATGCTATTACTTCTAGTGATCAAAATGTCATCAACATAGACTAATGTAATGACTATGTCTGTATTTGTCTTCTTAGTGAATAGAGATTGATCATAGGCACTCTGTAAGTAACCTGCACTAATCAGTGCATTAGATAATTTAATGTTCCATTGTCTTGATATCTGCTTTAAGCCGTATGGAGATTTGTATAATCTACACATTTTGGACTTCCTCTACCTATGAAATTCCTGAGGTAGATCCATGTAAACTTCTTCAGCTAAATCACCTTGCAAGAATATACTGTTTACATCCATTTGATAGAGATTCCATCCTTCAGCAGCTGTTAAACTGATGATTATTTTAACTGTCACCATCTTAGCAATCAGGGAGAATGATTCATGGTAGTCTTGACCTTCTTTTTGTGTGTAACCTTTTGCAACTAGTCTGGCTTTAAACCTGTCTGCTTCACCATTTGCCTTATACTTGACCTTATAAACCCATTTTGAGTCAATAGCTTGTTTCTTTGGGGGAAGATCTACTATCTCCCATATATAGTTATCTTCTAGAGCATGAACTTCTTGCTTCATGGATTCTATCCATCTGCTGTCTCTTGATGCTTCCTTAAAAGATGTAGGTTCTATAGTGGTAGATAATTCTGCCAAGTAAGACTGGTAGTGAGCAGGTATATGATCATATATAACATAGTTAGTTATTGAATGTATGTGGCCTCTAGAAGGTGTCTAACCAGTGACAAAGTCTTTATGCGATATTCGTAGTTTAACCCCTCTATTAGACCTTCCTGTCTCAGTTGTCTTAGTGACTTCAGGAACAGGTGCCTCCACAATGGGTTCTTCTTGAACCACAACATTAGGTGGATCATCAGTTGCTACCAATGCATTCTCTCCATCTGCTTTAATTGATGGCTCATCGGCTGTTACTTCTGTATCTTCTCCATTTGCTTCAATTGCTGACTCAATATCTTTGTCTTCTATAGTAGTGTACTCTGCATCTTGATCAGTGTGATCATTAGTACCTACTTCTTGAACTGCTTGATTTTGGAGAGGCTCATGTACTTGTTGTGAATTGTTCCCTTTTGAACTTGCTAATGTATCTGTTAGTGGAGTTAAAATATCCCCTACATCATCTGTGAGATGCTTAAAAGGGAATACATCTTATCTGAAACTAACATCTTTGCCAATTAAAAAATTCCTGGAATTAAGGTCATACAGTTTGTACCCCTTTTGAGTGTTTGAATATCCAATCAAGATAGTTCTTCTTGCCCTGGGTAAAAATTTATCTTTTCTGGGCAGTGTACATGCATACAATAATCACCCAAACACCTTTAGGTGATCTTAGGCAGTTTTCCAAACAACATTTCATAAGGTGACTTTCCTTTTAACACTTCTGTAGGCAACTTATTGATCAGATAAACTGTAGTTTTCACACAGTCTCCTCAAAATTTAGCAGGTAGACCACTTTAAAATTTCAATGCCCTTGCTACTTCTAACATGTACCTATACTTCTTTTCCACTAACCCATTTTGTTGGGTGTGTAAGGACAACTACTTTGGTGCACAATTCTAAGTGAAGACAACAACTTATTGCACTTTTTATTAAAGACTTCTATTCTATTATTAGATCTCATTGTCTTAACAGAAGTACCAAACATATTCTTTATTAATATGAAGAAGTCTATTAGTACAACTATTACTTTACACTTTGAATGCAACAGGCAAACCCAGGTGTACCTGCTAAAGTCATCTATTAGAGTAGCAAAATAGTACTTCTTATCATAAGTTGTTGTGCCATATGGACCTCAAGCATTAATGTGCACAAGCTGAAAAATACTACTAGACTTACTGATACTAATAGGAAACTTTAGTATACTCTACTTTGCTAATGGACAAATGTTGCAATCCTTTTGCATAGCTAACTTGACTTTATTCTTGAAGTCTAATACTGCATAAATATTGTGGATGCATGTTCTATCCAGTTGTGTCATAGCACAGTGTTTACTTCTTTCTTTTGAATAGATGTCGCTGCTACAACTTTATCCCTTCTGAGTATGTATAGGCCATTATTTTCCTTATCAATCCCCAGAACATTGCCATTGTAAAGTCCCTAAAATATGACAAAGTCAGGATAAAAACAGGTTGAACAACGTAACTCTCTAGTCAGTTTTGACACTGAAAGTAAGATGAACTTAAAATCTAGAACATGTAGAACATTCTTAATTCTCTGCGAATCCATCATTATGGTATCTCTTGTGTGTGTAATTTCTGATCTAGATCATATTGGAGTATGAACATCATCACTATTCTGTTTGTTTATGCTCTGAATGCTTTTCAAAATATTTTTGTAAAAAGTCAGATGGTGTGATGCTTCTGAGTCTACTATCCAATCATAACATTGTGCATTGGACAGTAATGACACAGTACCTGCCAGATTAGAAGATCCAACCTTATTTGAAGTACTTTCTCCAATTGAAAACTTGACATTAAGCCTACCAATTCTTATATTTTTCCTGAGTTAAGTAACCCCCTTGCTAAAACTAAGTTTTACCAATGGTATCCTCTTATGTGTTTGCAATGTTGGCAAATGGTTTAGTTGAATTGTACTGCCCTTTCTTCTTGCTTTTAAAATTAGGTGGATACCCAATGATTTTGTAGCAAATTTTCTTTAGAAGTCCCTTCTATCCACAATGCTTACAGATCATCCTTGGCCTTTTATTCTTAAAAGCTTGTCCTTTAC